GACCCTTGTGTTCCTCATTTCATTCTATTGCAAGTTAGTCAAAGAAAAACCCCGACTGTAAGAAAGGAATGGCGGAGCCACTGTACTGAAAAATCCCACCGGTGGGGTCTCGATTTTTCCCATTTTCTGGCTGACAAAGGCTCTCTAACCCTATTTTTTGCAGGTTTCCATGCAAAACTGGCCAAAATCACCAAAAAACGGCCGGGCCAAGAGGAAATGTTGCCATGGCCGGCACAGTTAAAGCTAGAGCATGACGACACTGCTGTGCCGAAACCCTAAATTGGCAAAAAAAAAATTAGAAATGCTCATTTTGGCCTTTTTGGGGTATTTTGGGATACGTGACTTTTTATTTATGCAGAAAAAATCCAAGAAACCCAAGAACCACCAAGACACGCAGTGAAAAAAATGATATTTTAAATGCCGATCCGGGGTAAGAATCTCTCGCTCTTTTCTCTCGTTATGGTAAATTAAAGTCTAATAACTAATAATAGTGTGTTTATAATAATTAGAAATCTCTAAAATTAATTACAAGTCACTAGTGGAACCGGAACTGGTCAGTGTATAATTGCCCTAGCCTTGTTGTTCATTTTTTCTTATATTGTTTCATCATGTATTGTAATTTATTGGTTTTAATTGCTTTCTCGTTATTAGTTTATCTATCCGTTTTATCCCTATATATTAATTGATTTGTGTACTGTTTGTTTGTATGAATTAATGTTGATATGTAACTATGAAATATTGGTATGAAATTGTGATTGGTTGATAATGTGGATATATGTATGAAAGGCTCATCAGGTACCCAACGAAAAGGTATACGGAACCAGTACATAGGAAAAATCCTACCGTAGACATTATCTCACTCGAACAGGGCTAAAAAATCTCATACCAAAAGTATTTGGGAGGTATAGATTACCCTCATATCGGATGAAATATTGAGACAGTTATATGTTTGACGCTCATTACCGGATAGGGTATGAGAACGGCCGGTTAATTGATAAATTGGGTATTTGGTCCACGCATAGGGGGTATCCCTATAGACCCTTAGAGGTATTAGTAAGCGAGTAAAAAGGTAAGTTTACTGTTATTGTTCACTTAAATGTTTAATAAAATGTGATTCTAGTTATTGTCTTCATAGTTCGATTTTGAAAACTCATAAAGGTAAGTATGGAAATAACTATTTTTGTTAAACGAATTTATTTAAAAAGAAATAATGACTTCATTGGTTATTTTATGATTTTTATCAACCTTTAATTTTTTGTATCGGTATTAAGCGTGATACTCTTACTGGTTATTATAGCTCATCTTCCTTATTTAACTATTTCAAATTAGGAATACTAAGACCCAGATCCTGAACAACAAGAAAGGTGCGAATAAAAATTGTCTTCTGCATCCCATCAGAGTTGCCCAGCGGAGGTTAACTCTATCAAAATTTTAGTTGTGTTTTCATTTATTTATTTATTCCGTTATTGAGAACTTCCTTAAAGAGACATTCTCATAACCCTATTAGACATCTCGAATC